CGGAATGGAATCAACCAGAGATGAAGTATGGAATTAGAGACAACCCTGGTTTTGGTTTGTTTTCTCCATCATCTTTTACAAGTAGTTTATCTATATTTTACTTCATGGACAACCAATCATTCCATTCTCTTTCTGAATCGCAGCATCCCTCATCTATTATGGTATGCAGCACTATCTTTCACTCGCTGGTTCACTAATTTTCATCCCCTTGATCATTGTCCCAGCCATGGGTGGAACCGATGTCAGCCATTCTTCCTTTTTAACTTCTTCACTTTTAATCTCACTTATTAAACCAATGGCGAATTCACAATCCACCATTTTGACATAATTTCATAACAGAATGATACAGCTACAGTGATTTCCACAATAATGCTGGTTTCGGGTTTAACAACAATATTACACTCATACTTTGGGACACGACTCCCATTGGTTCAAGGGAGTTCATTCGTCTTTTTGGCTCCAGCTTTAGTCATCAGTAATTCTCATGAATACCGAAATCTTACCCAAAACGTAACCTTTTCTAATCTCAAATATCTCTTTTATCTCATATAGCCTTCCGTGATTACAAATATATAAATCGTTACATACAGAAATTTAGACATATAATGAGGGAACTACAAGGCGCTATAATCGTTAGTTCGATCTTTCAATGCTTATTGGGATTCAGCGGTTTGATGTCCTTGTTCCTAAGGTAAGTGCTTTATGTTCATATTATCAATTTATCATATACAAATATATTCATACATAAATAGTCAAAAAAATTGGAAACAAAATAAAACCTAAATGAATTATTCTGTTACAGATTGATAAATCCGGTTGTGGTTGCACCTACTATTGCGTCCATAGGGTTAGCATTTTTCAGCTATGGTTTCCCTCAAGCTGGTAGTTGCATTGAGATCAGTCTACCTCAAATATTATTAGTGCTTATTTTTTCTCTGGTGAGTGTCACATTTAATCCTTAATTTTTTCATATATTCTTTAACATTGTTTCTTTTGTGTAGCACCTTCGTGGAGTATCTATACTCGGGCATCGAGTATTTCAAATATACTCAGTATGTTACTTTTTCTTATTTCTAATTTATAAATTTATAAATTCTAAATACTTCCATCATAATATTATCTAATTCTTTTTTTTTTTAATATAGGTTCCTTTGAGCATAGGAATCGTATGGGTGTACGCGTTTTTCTTGACAGCTGGAGGAGCATACAACTACAAAGGATGTAGCTCTGAGATTCCAAACTCCAATATGTTAAATGATTCTTGCATTAAACATGCATATACAATGAAACATTGTAGAACTGATGCATCGAATGCATGGAAAACTGCTGATTGGGTTAGGGTACCTTATCCTTTACAATGGGGTATCCCTATATTTAATTTTAAAACCTCCATTATCATGATTGTTGTGTCCTTGGTGGCATCCGTTGACTCAGTGGGAACATATTACTCAACATCAACACGTGTAAATTCAAAACCTCCTACACGTGGGATTGTAAGTAGAGGAATTGGAATGGAAGGTTTTTGTAGTATATTAGCTGGGATATGGGGCACAGGGGGAGGGTCAACAACTTTGACCGAAAATACACACACCATTAATATCACAAACGTAGCTTCTAGAAGATCCGTAGAGCTAGGTGCAGTTATCTTAATCGTCTTCTCTTTTGTAGGTATTATTACTATTATACCCTTTTCCTCATAATCTTTCATGTCAACAAATATAAATAACAGAATCTGATTATTTCAGGTAAAGTGGGAGCAATTCTTGCATCTATACCACAAGCATTGGCGGCTTCACTTTTGTGCTTTGTGTGGGCCCTAAGTACAGCATTGGGAATTTCAACATTGAGATATACTCACACTAGAAGCTTCCGGAACATTATGATAGTTGGTGTATCATTGTTTTTGGGTTTCTCTATACCTGCGTATTTTCAAGATTATTATCAAGAAACGGCTTTCATTCTCCCTGGATACTTAATTCCTTATTCAGCAGCATCTGATGGGCCGATTCGCTCTGGAAATGAACAAGTAATTTCCTTTTTTACCCTTGTGTAAAACCCATGTCTCCAATTTTGAAGATCTGACATCTTTCTTCATGTCATTGTCAGATTGATTTCATAATGAATGCACTTTTGTCAATGAACATGGTGGTGACATTCTTGGTGGCGATAGTACTTGACAACACTGTATCAAGAAGTCAAGAAGAACGTGGTGTGTACCTTTGGAGTGTTGTTGAGGATTTGTCTGTAGATCCATCTTGTCTTGATGATTACTCATTACCAAAAAAGGTTTCTAAAGTTTTTGGGTGGGCGAAATGTTTGGGTGCATGATGAATTGATGATGAGAGGATACTTGTGTACATTTTTATAGACGATTTGTTTGTTTATTTAGTGTGTTTAAGGTAAGAGCTAAATGTTTTGGTGGTGTTTATGTTGAATTATATTGACATAAGCACATAAATAGGATCGAATGTGTTGTTTACTTTGTATAAGATCATGTAAGTTTTATTGATTAGATATAGAAAAGTTATTTGTAGGGAGATTTGATTTAGTTGTATTTGATGAGACCATTGATGTATTGATCGGAAGGATGCGAAGAGATGTAGTTTTTGTTGGTGATTTGTATCACTGATATTATTTAAGTGTCATGAGATTAATTTGTTGACCAATTCAATCTTGATGAATATTAAACAAGAATGGTGCAGAGTGAACACTTGTTTGAGTTTATTCAAGATTCAAAGTACATTGTCATTTAAGGGCTTAGGGGCGAAGCCCTGAACCAACGGGGGTCTTGGTGCCCTAATAGCGGGGTCCAAGGGGCAAATCCTTTGGCTGGTTAGCTTGAAAATTTTTATTTGGGTTAATATTATAGAAAATGCATAGAAATCAAATTTGAGCATTTTGACAAGTCAATATTGTAAATTGTTTGCAACATGGTATTTTATGACTCACTCTTATGTTAATTTAAAAAACACATAAACAAATAAACTTATGTTAATTACCAAATAGTCCCTATAAAAGCCCCATGGACATTCTACCCCTCTTAAACTAACTACTTAAAGTTCTGTTCATTCCTATAATTTCCATGATGACATAACTAGTTAAGGACCTCCCAAATTATATTTTTTACATTCTACCACTTGGATGCATGCCTATTTACATCAAGCGTTCTGTTATAAGTTATACGTTCAACAAGCTTATAAATTTGATGATCACATAAGACTGACATTATTAATTTGTGGGGTTGGCTAAAAAGACCCCCCATTTTATCATATATACACCATAATTAATTTTTAAAATTTTTTTATTGGTTGAAATTTCATTGTTTTCCGAAAAAATGATTATAGATAGTTGATTATAGGTTGACTTTTTTTTATAAAAGTGATAATAGGGTGTCTAAGGGGTGTCTTATTAGGCCGGAGGGAGTGGTGCCACTGAAACCGCACTCCCTCTTGTGCCATATAGATGCCAACTCATATTTTTTCTCATTTCATCAATTTGATACCACCGCAAGGGAGTAGGAGAATGGTTAGAGAGAGAAAAGAAAGAAGAAAAGAAAGAAAATGATTGGTTGAGAGAGGAGAGAGAAAGCAAATAAAGGAGGAGAGAGAATGAGAGTACGGTAGTATTTGGGTGAAGAGAGAGAATGTGCGGTAGAAAACCGCAGTGAGGGGATGGTGTTTTGGGTGATGATGTGGCGGAACCGCGGTTGAAACCGCGCCCACTCCCTCTAGTCTTAGCAACACCCATTTGTGGAAGAGCGGAAGCAAAAACTAATAATTAGGAAGAAATTATAAAGAAAAACAGATTAGAGTACAAGAGATACAAGATGTGGTCAAAACGAATTGGAATGGAAAGTAAACTCTAAAAGTGTAAGGCCGAACGGAGTGATGCGGAAAGAGTGTGCGGGACTCATTCCCGCTCGGAGGAACAACGCACCGGCGGTGCGGGATAGGAGGCGTAGGAAGAAGGTGGGGGGAGGGGTTGCCGCACTCTCTCTCTCTTCTTGTGAGTGGCTGAAATTTGTTTTTTGTTTTTGTTTTTTTTTTGAATTGCAGGTTTTAACGAGGAAGAAGATGAATGTTTCTGGAAATGGCATATTTGGCCCCTATATTTTGGTTTTATGGCAGAATACACCCAACTTTGAATTCTCTTCACAAAAATAGTTTTCGAAAATTACAAAATAGACCCTATACTTTTAAGTTTCTACTAATTTAAATATTAGGTTTAATGTAATTTTTATTTTAATTAATTAAATGCTTTTTATTTTTAATTAAATTTTTTGGTTGTTTTTAATTTAAAAACTATAAATCATAAATATCAATTAATTTTATTTAAAAAAAAACAAAATAGTGAGGGAAGCTTCCCACACATTCCTTGGGTTTTAGGTGAGGGAAAGAAAAATGAGGGAAAAGATGGTATGACCCACAAAAAGTGAGGAAAATGTTGGTTCAGGCCCCACAAAACTCAGAACTTGAAACTCACGAATATAATGAAAATAAACTTGCAGAAAAGAAGAAAAGAAACTTTCTTAATATGAAGTGAAAAGAGTGTACGAAAGTTGCAGAAGAAAAGCTCAATATTCATATTAAACAAGGCCTATATATAGCCTTTTAAAACATCTACTGTGAACAAAAGAAAACTAATAAAAAAATACTAAACTATGCCACCTAAAGACCAGGTAAATATGAAGGCTACCCAACGTGCACATCCTAAAATCCGGTCAAACCTTTTACCAAGTCTTTTTTATTCAAAGTAAAGAATGTGTAAATAACTTAACCCATGACCCAAACAAAACTTGACCCATGACCCATCCAATAAACGATTACTCCAACAGGAAACTCCCATCCCATACCCTCCGGTCTAAGCAGTCTACCTATACCACACATGTACCGGTGAAAGTCAGTTTTGACTTGTACTTCTACTTATTAACATATTTGGACCCTACTTTTAAACATGAGAGTTACATTTAACCCATAGTCTCCATCTCGATGAAATCCATTTTAATACATTAATGCATCCGAAATGGAAGTGTAAGTGTGCAACCTTCTGACTGAGCTCGAAAATGAAACCTTGTGCCATCCTGACATCCCATAATTTCAGCCCAATTTGAAAAATACGTTTATGCTTTTAAAAGTTACAAATTTTATAAAATCTATAGCAAAATATCCCAAAATATTAAAACATTTATAAGACATTGAAAAATGTTTAGAACAACAATGGTTACCTAATTGGTAACCAAACGCATAAGTTAAGCTTAAAATACCAAGTTCGAATCTAATTAAGGGTAAATAAGAATGAGGATAATCTTATAGAATATAGGCACACAATTGAATACGAAGACACTTTATCAATCTAACCTATAATGAACCAGATTATAATGATCACACATTAAAAAAAATGAAGATGGAAAAGATATATGGTTTTCCCTTTGTCCGGTAGTTGTTATATCAACACTTGACATTTTCACTTGATATATTATAATGTCACATATATAAACTTTTAACATTAATTAACATACTTGTCACATCACGTTGTCGAGTCCATGATTCCTCATCCAACTTCAACAATGGCGTTTGGAGGTGGGTCACATCACCTTTGTTCTCATTTTGTAACTTTTGTTGGTGCCACACAACATCCCAAGAACCTTATCAACCCTCTAGATTTTCCTTTACCATTAGGATCACCTTTGTTAAACTTATTATTGTCGTTTCTTTTGGTTGGAACACATATTTGCCTTTTCCTCAAATCGCTGATATGCATCTCTGTGGGGAATCTACGTGACCCAAATCCGAACATAAACACGTACCATCTTGATTTTGACTTTGAAGTAAGTATAGACACCTTTCTTTCCATACTCCCCCCATGATGCATGTCTAGTGGCTTCTTGTTTTCATTTTCTTTTATGTTCTTGGAAGAAACATGAACAATTTTCCCACAAAAAATAATGGGATTCGTTAAATCATGAGAAGCTATCCCAATCTCACTTGAAAACTCAAAATCTTGTTCGTCATGATCACTCATACTTGGCCCTTCTATCCGAGATTCAACATTCTCATCACAATAAATGGAAAAATCAGAAAGAGACATGGTGTCTTCATCTTCTTCTCCTGAGCTTGGTAAGGCCGAAGGATCACACTTTTCCATGGACAAAAACATCAATTTTTTGTTTTGAGTGTGTGAAATGAGAAAAGAAATCAAAGTTATGGTTTACAAAGTAACATGAGATGCTGAGGATATATACATATATGGTTATATATAGTTAGATATTCATGTTGACGTTGTCATGGGCAGATTAGTAAATTTACAATGATTCTAAATGTGCCAAATGGCTAAAAGAATGGTTTTATGTTTAATATATTTGAGAAGCAAGAAAAATGCTTCGTCCTTCAACATATAAAATAATAATTTATTTGTTTTACTTTTGATATATTATGTCATAAAAAAAGTATGAAGAAGAATATTTCAATCTCATTGACTTAGAGCTTATAATACTTTCTTCATTTGTTGTTTCAGAAGAATGTTATATTAGTGTTCCTTGATGGGTTCAAAACCTTTTTTTAATAATAATATAAATAACCAAATAACATGATATAGAGACTTGGAGCTTAAAAAACTTTCTTAAGTTGTTGTTCTTTGATAAGAATGTTATATTAACGTTCATTGATGGGTTCAAAACATTTTTTAATAATAATAAAAATCACCAAATAACATGACATATATAATTTTTTTTAATACTAACAAGTTAATACATCTTAGTTATCATCGTACAACGAATGAGAAGGCAAACGGGTGACAAGTTGGACTGTTAAACCTTTTTGAGCTATAAATTAAGCTATGAAAAAAAAAATTATAGACAAAATTGCAAATATGGTTTTTGTCACTTGTGGTTTGTATTTTTTATTAAGTCAAAAAATTTCTTACGTGCAAAAATAGTAATTTGGTGTGATTTGGTTGTAAGTATAATCTCTATAAAATTTTGAAATAACTATTATATCCTTCTAATTTGTCTTTACATTTTTTATATTTAATTTAATGTTTTTATAATTAAAAAAAAATAGAAAAAAGCCTACATCACACCCACAACCATCCAATTCCATCTCACCCCACCATACCCTATCATACTCATCTTTCTTGAAAACTCCTTCGACACACTGGAGAAGAGAATGAGTTTGTAGTGGCTTTGGTCGACATCGGTGGGTGCCGACAATGGTAAATCGGCTATGGTCCCTAAAACGCCACAAGATCTTCGACGTTCCAAGATTTCATAAGCATTCACGGACTAAATAAAGAGTTTTGGATAAGTTAGTACATCCTTATTTTTTTTGACTTATTTAAGGGGTTTTCGATTAGTTATTTTCTTATTACAAACATCAGCACAAATTGTCAAACATTGAAAAAAAAATATCATCTTTGGTGTAGGATAAACCAATCAAACAATTTTCTTTAAACTTGGTTTTGACACTAAAGAAAGGAATTTTGATATAAACGTCCTTAGGTTTGTCAACTTTTGACTATATTGTCCCTATGACGATTTTTTGTGCGTTAATGCCTAATATTTCGGAAGATGCTCAAATTTTCCCTTCAACCATTTTTACCTTGTACAAGAGGTCACCACCACCATAATCTACCCTGTAGCCACCACTAGAAGCAACCACTACCATCTGTTGCCATAGCCACCACCATCAAAACAAACAAAAAACCTATCAATCTCCACCACCATCTGCCTCCACCACCACCACCACTGATGTGTGGTTAACTATATATATATATATATATATATATATATATATATAATAAAAGTTTTAAATTTATAAAATTGGTTTTATTAGTGCTGGACTATAACACACTAGGCAGCGTACTTAACTGTTTAACAATATAGTTGAGGTAAGACCATGTGTCGAACAAAAGGGGAACGAGAATGATTCAGATAAGAAAATTCAATTATTAATCAAACCTGACCAGTAAAGTAAAGGGGGTTTGTTTAAATTCAGTTAAACTAAACTAAAAACAAAAACTAAACTAGAGATTAGATTAAGATATAAAATAGATAAAGATTATTTTACATATTTGACTACGCCTTTTAGTCATTGTTAAGAAAATCAGACAATACTTGTCAAAAATCAGAACAGGCCTGATGCCACTTGTCAAACTCCGATACCACTTGTTAGGAAGGAATGCAGATGACACACGAAACCAAAAATACACAAGACACATTATTTATGTGGCTCGGTCAATGTGACCTACATCTATGGGAAAGAGGGGAGTATTCTTTATTTATGATTTCTCAGTCAAAGGTTACAAGTACAATTCAACAGAGATTCACCTATCACTCTAGAATTCAAGACATAAACAAATAAGTAATAGACATCCCTATTTATTGTGAAGAGATTAGACCAAAGTGGCACATATCATTCACAATTGGCGCATCTAGACTCCAAAGTGGCGCACTGATATTGCTATATTTATTCATATATTTTGTGCAATATTTAAGTACTTTTTAGCTATATTGTTGATATTTATAAAGATACTTGGTACTTATTACATTTAAAATCCATTTTGTTGCAAGTTGGACAAGTTGGAGACTTGGAGGTTAGAAGCATAAATCAAGAGGAAGAAAAGAGAAGAAAATCATGCAAAAAGAAGATGTCATGTCATGGTCACATACATTCCACGATGTGGTGATGTGTATAGCACGGAACCTTCCCGACTGATCTACGTAGAGACTTGGAGCGTAGGTGAAGAAACTATCTCCCACGTCGTGGCGATCATTGTGCCACAATGTGGCACCTATTTTATGGGAACTTATATAAAGGGGTTTTAGGTCAAATTTCGAGGAGATTTATTGTTACCTGTGACTAAGAGCGATAAAAACCTTATGAGAAACCCTTGGTAGGTAAGAAATTGATTGGAGATCAAGGATTGAAGAGATATAGAATGAATAACACCATTATTCATTTGGTTTTCTAGTTTTCATCATGTTTATTCTAGTTAACTCTTTGTTTATGTGTTTTTCTGCTATGATTATGGGCTAATACCATGGTTCTAAAAAGCTCTTCATGGCGCTCCTCAAGGCGTGCCAAGGCGCAAGGCGTGGTGTAGCCGTTACGGAAACGTGCAAGACGGGTTTGTTAAATGTGTCACTCAAATAACATGTCAAGGCGTGCCTTATCGCGTTATGGTGCGAGTTTTTTTCAAGGCATGTTTTTTTTTTTGTTTTTTTCTGATCGGACCTAAATAAATTGAGTTTTTGTTAACTATTGTATATTAAATATTAATAGAACACTTCAAAAAACTTGATATATTTGATAAAATTCAATAATTATATGATTTATCTTTTTTAATGTATATAAAATAGTCACGCCTTGAAAAACGCTATGGTTCGCCAAGGCTTGTCATTGCTTAACTTTGACATTGCCGCCAAGTCACGCATTACGTTATTTAGAACATTGGCTAATACCCTTAGTTTTCATTTGGTGAAAATGAACCCTAATACTATGTGTTGATTTTGCTAATTATGGATTTATAGATGCTGGTTTTACTTGTGTTTGATAGATCAATATCCTAGCATATTAAAGTTCTAATCTTTATCACTTTTTCTGCAAGATTTGTGTGATTAATTGATCATTCTTATTACATAACATGATATATAGTTGTTTATGACCATTGAATTGGTAGATCTAGTGATTGAACAAGTCCTAGAGTTACGTGGTAAAAGTTAGTTACTTTGATTGTGTTATAGAGCATTAATGACCTATATTATGTGCGTGTATTTATTGTCTTGATCATAGATAGGTAATCATCAGATCTTATCATTCATAGTCCAAATAATCCTTAAAATCAATTTAGTGTCCAAGTTGTGCTTGACCATTACATAGTAGTTCATGAATTGGTGAACACGAGGAATCAGAACATGATAACTAGTAACTTCATAATTTGGTAACCAACATATTTAATCCATTAGAAATCAACCATAGGAAAAGGGGGGATTCGAAACTAAACGTAAGTACTCTTTAATCTTGAATTAAAATCATTTTTTGTTTGATCGCTTAGTTTAAAGTATTTCTAGTTATTTATTTTCTAAATTGCTTGATTTAAGTTGTTGATCTTGCAAAATCAGTTACCCCCCCCCCCCCCATTTTACTGTCTCTTATTTAATTTAATTAATAGCAGTCTTTTCACATTGAAATTTCTATTCCCTGAGTTTGACACCCTACTTACTTTACTATTAGGAAACAACGACTAGGTACACCACGTATTGTGTTTTAGTTGGTTAATTTGTTTAGGATTATAAATTTAAAACTGTTAAGTGCAAATTAAACACATCAAGTCCACACTCTCTCAATAATGGCACATCTAGCTTGAACAGTGGCACATCTAGTCTATAGATGGTGCACTTGCTTAAGGAATGTCATATCATGCTTCTTAATGGTGCACCTTGTCTTCTAAGTAGCGCATCCAAGCATAGGATGGCAAATCTTGATCATAGATGGCACATCCATGCACCAGGATGCTCCATTCCACTCCTAAGTTCTTCATACCCCATTTTAGAAGAACCATTCCATTGTCACTTGATCCATTCCTTTGATAGATGATCCATTCCCTTCTCAGATGATCTGTTCCTTTGTCATATTCTCCGTGAACCCAAAGTGCTTTATTGAGTTCCAAGTGCTCTATTGAACTCAAATTCTCAATGATAATGCTCCAAATGCTCAAGTCACATTTAACAATCTCCACTTTAACTTGAGTATCCTTTGAACTCGACCTTAAACCAAAAATTCTTCTCCCTTCCTGCCATCCATCCCTAACGAGACCAAACTCCTACGAACATCAACCAAGTAAAATAAAAGTGTAAACTTCTCTATTTCTAACAACCCTGTCAACATGTCTTCTGGATTCTCCTTGGTACCAGACTTTTAAATGCAAAACCTGTCATAGAACATGATAGGTTTCTCCACCTTCAAAATAAGACTCTGAATGAGACCAACCACCAATGATCTTCTTATCTCCAGATCACTTTCATGGTTTGAGTCTACCGATCTAACCAAGTTTGTATGTTCTGCATTAGCACCATACACCAGAAAAACATGAAGCGTTCCCTTCAAGTGTCACAAGATACACTTGACCACTTACCAATGAGCTTTCCC